ACGTTAAATTAGTGTTGAATTTCTTGTAATAGGGAGACATTAAGTTGATTCTTGAGGGAAGGGGGCCACCTAAACTCACGTAAATTAAACCAGACCTGTTTTTGGATTTTTCTTTAAGTTGAAGAAAAAGAAATTTAAAGAAATAATGAAATTAATATAAAAATCAAATAATTATCGGTTGCTCTAGTACAATAAAATAATATGTTTTCAAATAATATTTAAAATTTAAAATATAATATTATAAAGGATCATTGGATCTCATAATATTTAATTCAAATTATTCAATCAATAAATTAAAAAACAAAAAACAATATGAATGGATAAGTAAATTTTTCCTCAGTGTCGGTAGGATGTTTTTGTATTTTCCTAAAGTCCTTGGCTCCACTAACCTTGGCTCCACTAACCTTGGCTCGAACCTTTCATTCCTAAAATAAATAAACTGTACTTTATCTTTCTTTTTCTTTGTTTTGTTCCCGTTATTTGCTTTTCTTCCCTCTCTTTATCCAAAGTTATCTCTGCTTTTGTACAATATTTAAATCATATTATTTATATTTTGTTGTTATTAGACAATATATATTATACGGAATAGTTTTAATTTGCTGTCGTTTTCATGATTTCATGAATTATTGCTGCATTTGCAGCGCAAATATGCATCAACTGTTTCCTTTAATCAGCTGCAAGGAATCACGCCGGGAATGCATGGCGAGTTGTCTTGATTCATGAGGGAAGGGGGCCACCTGTTTCTTTTCATCAGATTCCCTACAAGATCATCTCGGCTGCATGGCGATCTTTAAGTTCGCCCCGACTGTATGACGACCTTCAAGGACTGCATGGCGACCTTCAAGCTTTGCCCCGACTGCATGGCGACCTTCAAGCTTTGCCCCGACTGCATGGCGACCTTCAAGCTTTGCCCCAACTGCATGGCAACCTTCAAGCTTCGCCCCGACTGCATGGCGACCAATCTCATCCCTGTATCATTTACACCATTTGACGAATTAATCCTTGGAGGGCATTATCACGTGAATTGTTTTTTTTCAAAGCATTTTTACGTAAGTTTAGCCGGACCAACTTGCTTTAACTTTTAATTAAAATTAATTGTTTGACTTCTATTCCATCACTTTATTAATATTGTCATTAATTATTAATCAACTGATCGGTCATGACTTCAATATTAAATTTAATTATAAATTATGAAATTAATATCTAAATTATTAGTTTTTAGTTTGTTTTATCACCTAAATTTTTATTTTTTAAAAAAATATAAATAATGTTTAGTGTTTTTTTCATTTTAGTATCATGTTAAAAATTTAATGTCAAGTTTTGAAAAAAAAGTGAAAGTTGCATAACTAAAACAGACCAAAACTGATAGTTTATGTACATGCATTAAGTCTTTGACAATGAGAATACTAAAATGTAATTGAAAATAAATGTTAAGTATGGTTTTAAAAAATTTAAAGTTTAAGTACTAAAACAAATAAAATTTATAATTTACGTACTAAGCACATAATTTACCCTAAATTTAATTAGAATTCCTCTAGTTCCCTATTCTCTTAGAAACCAAATGTCAATTTCTATATTAAATTCAGGGTACATATTTATATGTTTTTTTACAAAATTAGAAATAGTTAATTTTATTAAGATATTATAACGAAAGTTTATAATTAGAATGGTAAACTAGGCACATAATTAGGATATTTTTTTATAATCATTAATACAAGAAATTAATCACTTAAAATTATATACAAACCATATAAAGAAAAGGTGAAAACCCCATCCAAAAAAATTCAAGCAATATGTAGATACAAATAAATATGACTGTTATGACATATGAATCTGATAATTAAACTATTAAATAACCCTGGAAAAATGTAAATCGGATTCAAATATAGTGAGAAAACTATCTATGAACACAAATTATGTATTCAAATCCAATTGGAGAGTCCGAAAAAAGGAAGATTAATAGGATAACGAATAAGCGTCATATTGATCAGTCGTGGCAATGTGATCAAATCTAACCATGAGAAAAATAAACGACAAGAACAACTAAATGACTCAAAAAGAAAAGAAAAATGTGACATAAAAGTAGAGAAAATCATGTAATAAAACAATATTTAGAAACAAAAAAATATGTAAAAATGCAATATAAAAAAATAAAGAAATATTACGACAACAACCAACATCAAGGTTGGTCCCATCGTCTACTAACCAAAGATGAAAAAGAAAGAAACAACAACAGTTTAGAGAAAAAGTTTTAACCCTATGACCAAATGCATATATCTTACCACGGGCGGATACACTAAACCCCCTAAGAGATCAAGTGTATTTTTATTATTTTGGATAAGTTATCAAATTTAGTTCAATGAGATAAGGGAAAGAAAAAAAAATTATATATCCATTTTATAAAAAGAAAGAGTATTAAAATTTTAGACTGCCGTTTATAAATTCATAATATTTATATGTAAATTATGATCAAATTTAACATTTTATATTTAAACTTAGGATTCTAAAGTAGAACTAGAATGATAATTTAATACATATTATGTGATAACTCTTGTGAAATTACTGATCTTAATTACATTAAGGGTGTATTTGGAAATTATGGTTTAATTACATAATTGTAATTGAATACCCATGTTTATATCTTCAATCCTTAAGGAAGGCAGATAATTGGTGTGCTGATTATACTCTTTACTTTTATAAGTAATATTATTTTAAGTTAAATTATTAAATCATATTATTTAACATAAAAATGACTTCATCTTCTGAAAATTAAAATTGTTGGATCTTAAAAATTTACAATTAAAAATTATACAAATTTAATCAAAATTGAATAAAAAATTATAAAATAATTTCATGAATTAAAAAATCATAAAGTTATAATTTTCAAAATTATTTTTAGAATTTTAAAAATGAATTGTGAATTATATATGTATATTTTTAAAAAATGATTTTTTAATATTAATATTTAGAAATATTGAAAAATATCAAAAATAAAATTTTAGTTATAATGGGGCTCCTAAATGAAATTGTTTTATTAATTTAATATATCATTTTATTCTTTTAATGATAATTTAAGATGTAATATCCATTTTATAATAAAATAAAGTTTAATACCCTTTATATGATTTTTAAAAGTTTAATATCTAAAAAAAATATTTTGATATAGTTTAATCATGATTTAAAAATTTTATCTTACAAAATGAATAATGTACATCGTGCCTCACGTCCATATGAGTTTTCCATAGTTAAAAATTTATTATATCTACATCATTTTAAATTAAAAATTAATCAATTTGTTTTAAATACTTTAATTAAATAAAATTAATTTTAATTTTTTTATTAAACTAAAGTAATTACAAAGTAGCATTTGTTTTATGTACTCTCAACCATTTCATAATAAATGTCCAATCACTCTTACAGTGATGCTCGAACCCGTAATCTCTAAAAACACGATTCTATATCCATCATTAAAAAACTAATTAAATATTTTTAGAATAAAATTGTCACAGGTAATTAAAACATTTATTATCTTTCCTATAGAGATTATACTGTATCATATTTCATATATTTTGCGCCGTTAATTATGAAAATATAAGTAATAATAAAATAATTAGTAAAATATTAAATATAAATATAACTGATATATATAGGGATATGCATTTTATTCGTATCGGAAGAGTTTTGATCTAATTTAATATGATCGAATTAAATTTTGATTTTAAAAGTTTTAGTTCGGATTGAGTTGATTTTTTTAAGAGTGGATTATGATAGATTTTAGGATAAAATTTTTTGAAATGACTTAATCCAACATCATATTATAATTATCACATTTGTTTTTAAAGATAATTGTAATAATATTTTTTTTATTTTAATTAGATTCATAATTCATCTAATAAAATGAATTATATACATAATCGGTTTGAGTGCAGGTTTTAACTTAAAAATTCAGTTCAAATTCTGAGTTGGACGGAATTCTCTTAAAACCCAAGTTAAATATTGTTGAAGTGATTTGATTTTGTAATTCGAGTGGATTAAAAATCAGACCCATACTCTTCATTAGATTAATTGTATGTTTGACGCATTTAAATTTATAACTTTCATAATAATTATAAATTATGCCAAGAGAATTAAAACTCGATCCATCATATTAAGTATGTTTTATTAATGATATTTAATATTAAGTATATACCATACTTTAATGTTACGATGGTGATAATAAAATTAAAGATTAGATACCATTATATTAAACCCTAAAAGCATGCCATATTTACATGTTCCGCCACTCCAAATACACTTGAAAAATACGTATAAAAAGGCAGTAGTGGATAAGCAACAAGGACGGTAACCCCCCATTCTAAGTATCCCTAGATTTATGCCATAAAAACCTTTATTATTAAATTTCATTTATTTATTCAAAAAATAAAAAATATATTTGTCTTCTCTTTCTCACCCTCTTTCCTTTCTGTCGGTGTTCAGATCTTGCAACTTCTACACTCTTCATTCCAACCTTTTTCTTATATTCTTTTTATTCCTATATTTTTTGTTTCAAGAAGAGAATAGGGAGGAGAAATTTTGGTTATCGGTTAAGTTTTCTGAGGACTTGAAGAGAAATTAGTAAAAAAGAAAAAGAAAAATGGCGGAACAGTTGTTGAGACTGAATTTTCAAGGAGAGGTTTTGAGAGCTGCGTTTTGATGGTAGTTGAATCGAGTTTGTTGTGGTGAAAAAGAAGAAAAACAAGAGAGAGAAAGAAGGAGGAAAAACAAGAGTGTATGACAGATTTAGTTTGGACTTTATTGTGTTGGAGGAATCGATGGGATTATGGACTTGTGATTCGGAGTCGGGGGAGATGGGGCAAATGTGGTTGATTTCTTAGATTTCTTCTGTTTCTTCATTCAACCGCTTCATTTGTTTGTTCATTGGTTTTTTTTTGTGTTTCACTATCTGTATCTTCGTGATCTTCCTTAGGATTCAATTTCGATTATTTTTTCACAAAATATAGCAAGATCACCAGAAGAAGGTGAATTTTCATTTCTTTTTCACCTTTTCTTTTGTGTTTTGGGAGTTATTTATCTTATTATTAAAAACAATTGTGATTATTGACAAATTGTTGTGCCCAATTTGAGCTTTTATGTTGGGTAGTTATGTGAGACATGAAAATATGGGATTGTTGTGCTTTGGAGTGTTTTGTGCTGTGTTGGATGTGGGAGATATTCTTGTCACCGAAAGCAATGATTTTATCTTGAGATATTTTACTCTTTCGTTTAATAAAGTTAGTGAAATGCGTTTCGAATACAGGGAGGGAGAGATAAAATAGCATGAATTTAATGCATATTTTGATTTGGAATAAGTGAGTTCCATTCATTTTCTGAAATGCTATGAAATAATGGCTTTATACACCTCTTTGATCCAATTTAAGTCCATTCTTCTTTAGTTTTCTGAAATATATTATATATTTTTAGTTTTCCTGCATCTTCCCTCTTCTACCAGTCTCTGATTAACTGGATGCTGCCGCTATATATGTAGAAAGTAGGGAATTGGATTTCTTTATTGTTAATTTAGTACAATAAGATTGTCTTCTTTTACAACCTTTTGCAATGCTGCCAGTCTGAAACTTGATTATATACACATAAAGACTTGTGTTTAAAGTTTTAATTTGTCTTTTTTTTTTTAATATTGGTTTCCTCTGTTGAAAGTAATTGTTTAATGCTTAGATGATGAGTTTAATGTCTATATGACCATATTGTGATTGAAAAGAAGGAAATTGTAGGTTACCTAGTATTTCGTTTTATTTCAGGTAGTTATAGTCACGTACTAATGAATTGAAGGTAGATTACTTCACTAATGACATTGTTGTATTATTTGTTTTTCTTGTTTTTGTTCTTTCTGTCCAATATTTGTATGTTGATCTTTGTTTTGAGTTAAATGGAGTGCTTTTGATGGTGCTTAATTTGAATAATTCAGATACGCATGATGTTACCTGTGTCAAGTATGAGGTCGAGTCATATTAAGCTATGTGCCTTGTATTTTTTTGAAAAAAAAAATTATGCTTGGCAATCTTGTCTTATATGTACTTCGGTGCCACAGAGTTCAACCGAGATGGACTTTTTCTCTGAATACGGGGATGCCAACAGATTTAAGATTCAAGAAGTTGTAGGAAAAGGCAGTTATGGTGTTGTGTGCTCTGCAATTGACACCCAGACTGGTGAAAAAGTTGTGATAAAGAAAATACATGATATTTTTGAGCATCTTTCTGATGCTGCTCGAATTCTTCGCGAGATAAAGCTGCTCCGACTTCTACGGCATCCAGATATTGTTGAGATTAAACACATCATGCTGCCTCCATCGCGTAGAGACTTCAAAGATATTTATGTTGTTTTTGAGCTTGTGGAGTCAGATCTTCATCAAGTTATTAAAGCTAATGATGACTTGACTAGAGAACACTACCAATTTTTTCTTTATCAGCTACTTCGTGCATTGAAATATATTCACACTGGTAATTGTCAGTCTATATTGGCTCCATTGCATTTTACTGAGACTTTAACTTGGTTTATAGCTATATATGTGTTGATCAATTGTGGTAATTATGCATAAAGTTGTCCGAAATAAGCTCTTTGATGTTCGACCCTTTAATGCTAACCACAGTTTGGTTTTAGTTTTTATCAAACTCCATCAATTATGCGATGATATTTGGTAAATGTTTTGCTGGAAAATATTTTCATCAAGTCCATTTATTTTTATGTTTCCAAAGGCTGTTTCCAATTTTCATCAAACCTTTTATCCTTAAGTTATATTCATATTTGGTTACAACTGCGTCTTGTAGCATGCATTAATGTTTCTTGGTGCTATTTTCCTGTTTCATTTTGATTTCTGTTTTTCCTTTTTCTTACAACGCCATTGATGCCTTGTGTTGTGGACACGATAGATTATATTTTTAGAGTGCTGAATGTATCTGATATTTGATCTTTTGGTTGCAGCAAATGTCTACCATAGAGACCTAAAACCAAAGAATATTTTGGCAAATGCAAACTGCAAACTTAAGATATGTGATTTTGGTTTAGCTAGAGTTGAATTTCATGATACACCTATGACGATATTCTGGACGGTATGCCAATTAAAACAACTATTCTTTGATGTTTTCATATTCTATTTGTTTTCTCCATCTGTCACATAGAAAGAGCTGATTTTGCTGGACCTTTTTGTTGGACATTTTTAGGATTATGTTGCTACCAGATGGTATAGAGCTCCAGAGCTCTGTGGATCCTTTTTCTCCAAGGTAAAGGGGTCCTCATACAGAGCCATTAAAGTTTGGAATTCTGCAAACTTAAAATCATGTGATTTATTTATTCCCTTTATGAGCTTATATTGGTTGAAGCTAGATCTATGCTTCATTTTTTACTATAAAGTTTATTCCATTCTACGGTGCATGCAATGTTCATTTTAGATATTCAGTTTCTTATGTACTTCTAGTTTCTTTAACTTGGATCAAAAGGTGACTTTAAAGTGTGGCTATTTTAACAGATGTGCACGTCGAGTGTTTTTCTCTAAAATGCATATGGATGGATTATTAGGCTGATATGATTTTCATAGCATGCAATACTGTAGCAATTTATTTCATGAAGTGGTTGCTTTTTGTCTGGTTAGACATGCATATCCAAAATGAAATAATGAATGTTTCAAAGTATCTATCTTTGTCTAATATGAATTTTCCAAATCTTTATTCAACTCAAATTATTTTTGCTAGTAGTTATGTGATTATCAGTTTCATACTGTTCAAAATTTAATGAATAATTAAAGGTTGTTCGAAATGGTGATGTTGTGTACTTTATCCGTATGAATTTTCATCAAACTCAAATTTGGTTTTGGAAAAAATATTTAATGTAGCAAGCAAGTTATAGTATCCTTCATCCTGTATACCCTATTAGCAACATACAAGATCAAGTATTTCCCAATGTATATCTGTTCTTTTTCATTTTTATAATACACGCTCTTTTTACTTTGAATGATTGCTGCATGATGAGTTTTCTTTTAATTTACAAGTTCTTTATTAATGTTCATATTACCCGGAATGGACGCTTTATGGTCTTTCTGTTAATTTCTAATTTCTGATTGTTGTTCTTGTTACCTCAAATTAATGCAGTATACACCTGCAATTGATATCTGGAGCATAGGGTGCATCTTTGCAGAAGTATTAACTGGGAAGCCACTTTTTCCTGGGAAAAATGTTGTTCACCAGTTGGATTTGATGACTGATTTGCTTGGTACACCTTCATTAGATACCATCTCTCGAGTACGCACATCTAGACTTCTGAGCTGTTTTTTGATCATAAAGATGTGAGACCTGTTAACTTCCTTCTTTTTCTTATTGTTCACAGGTTCGGAATGAGAAGGCAAGGCGATACTTGACTAGCATGAGAAAAAAACAACCAATCCCATTTGAACAAAAATTTCCAAATGCAGATCCTTTGGGTTTACGTCTATTGCAAAGGTTGCTTGCTTTTGATCCAAAAGACTGGCCCACATCTAAAGAGGTTTGTTGTTATCATATAGTATTGGTTTCTCTCTGACAATCTGTTGCTGCAAATTTTCTTTTAGTTTCTACATCTATGACATCAATTGTTTTTTGGATTTATAATTATAGCATCTTTTGATTTGGTATGTTTCAGGCTATTGTTGATCCCTACTTTAAGGGGATGGCAAAAGTTGAGAGGGAGCCTTATTGTCAGCCAATTACAAAGATGGAGTTTGAATTCGAGAGGCGAAGGGTCTTAAAAGATGATATACAAGAACTAATTTTCCGCGAAATACTGGAATACCATCCTCAGCTGCTGAAAGACTATATGAATGGACCTGAGAGAACAAACTTTCTCTATCCGAGGTTTTTTTTTATAAGATTTGAAAGCCACATTAAAAACCTCCTTCTTGATTAATGGAGCTTTTATGGAAGCTCCTTAATCAGCGGAAGGAGTAAAAGAGTGTCTTAGAAGCTTCATTAAAAAAAAAGAAACAATCGATAAAACAAATAACCCTTACAAATAGCAAGAAGCCCCTTCCGAACAAACCAGAAACCCAAACAAATCGTGCTAATAACATAAAATTCAGCCTATACCAGCCTTTGCTAAGGCATCAGCATCCATATTAGCTGTCCTTGTAACCCATCTAACAACCCCCAAATATTCTAATTTTAACAACTATATCTCTAACAATAGAAGCATACGCAACTGGGCAAGAATCAACATTGTTAATCCAGTCTACTGCTACCCTGCTATCACTCTCAACAATCAGTTGATCTTTAACCATCCCTTGGATAGAAGCAAAGTAAGAAAACCCCCTTTGAATAGCTTTAAGTTCCATCAATGTTGGAGGTCCCGAACTCGCAGAGTCCTGAAAAGATCCTATTATTGCACCTGAATGATCCCTTAAAATACCTTCAAGACCACTTTTCTTCCAATCACAGCTAGTGGCAGCATCCACATTCAGTTTTATGAAGCCCATAGGAGGAGGTAACCAAGGGATAATAGAAGACTTTAGGAAATTGTAAGACGAATAAGAATCCCCTATTGAAGGGTCAGAAATTAAGAAATCCTTAGGAATAGAAATATCCTTATGCTTGGCTAGGAACCAAGTAGTAAGCCTAACTCTTGCTAAGAAGAATAGTTATGTCTGATCAAGCTTCCCCCTTCAAAAATAATAAAATTTCTGATTTTCCAAATGGTCCAAATAACTGCCCCAGGAATGAATGTCTATATAGCCGAATTTGATTTCAACTCGTCCCAAGCTAGGAGAAAAGTTTTAGCATCCTCATGAAAAACAGAACTGAACCTCCAAAATTTTAAAAATTTGTTCCAAAGGGACCACACTACCGAACAAGTAAAGAATAAGTGCGAGGAAGACTCTTCAACCTTTTTACAAAGAAGACATAAATCATCTTCAATGCCTTGAATTCCTCTTTTAACCAATTTTGTTTTAACAGCAAGTTTTTGAAGCACAATTTGCCACATTAATGTTTCAACTCTTGGGGGTACCAATCCACTCCAAACAATATTCTTCCAGAACCGAACCTCTTCTGAACCTGATACACATCTCTTAACACAAGAACTGACTGTAAAAACACCATCCCCATTGCCTTTCCAAATCAAACTATCACTAAAATCCATAGACAGAGAAACAGAAGAAATCATACTCATCAAATTACACCATTGTTCTAGCTCCCAATCATTTAAATTCCTTCTTGTTTTCACATCCCAAATCCAGCCCGATGGATGAAAATCCCCAAACTCACAAAACTTGCCTGATTTATTAGAAGCAATCAGAAACAGTCTTGGAAAAAGAACCTATAACGGATAATCTGCAGCCCAATATCTTGCCAAAAATGGATATGCTTACCATCACCAACATGAAAACTACAAAGACTACGAAACTTATAACAAAAGGAGTCTTGCTTGAAATAGTTATTAACCACTGTTCTCCATTGCCAAGAAGTAGTAGGTGAAATCTTGCTATCAAACAATAACCTTGATTGATCAATGTTATATTTACTACAAATAAATTTCCTCCAAACAGAACTTCTCTCATTTGCAAACCTCCAAGACCATTTCCCCAGCAGTGCTCTGTTCATAGAATTGAGGTTCCGGACTCCCAAACCTCCCTCATTCTTCGATTTACACACTTCAGCCCAATTAACCCAGTGTATTTTCTTAATTCCATTGCCCCTTCCCCATAAAAAATGACATAATTGAATTTAGATACTTAAGAATTGAAGCTGGAATTTTAAACATTTACAAGAAGTATGTAGGCAGTGAACACAACCGATTTGATCAATACCAATCTGCCAGCTAAAGAAAGTAGCTGCCTTCCAACCTGCTAGTTTTGTGTGAAAATTATGCACGATTGGTTCCCAAATAGTTGATGAATTCTTTATTTTTTTTTGATAGAAAGTAGGCATCATTAAAACCTTCTTCAAGCCCTGCCATGTTATGAAGGTAACATGACGGAACAAAGGAGGAAAAGAGTGCCAAGAAACTTTTATTCACAAGAGCCAAATTACAAAGACTGAACAAACTCCTAAACTTTCAACTGAAGAACATAAGACTTAAAACAAACCACCTAACAAACAGGAAAATACAATTCATGCTAATCAACACGATCATATAACCCAAAAATCACCCTATCCCATCTTTAGCTAGTTTGTCAGCTTCCTAGTTTGCCGCCCTCAAAATATGCCTAAATATAATATCTTTTCCAGTCAAACTGATGAATTCTTAGTAGCACCTAGGGGAAGGCCTAGATAGTTAGAGGGGAAACTTCTAACTGCACAACCAATGGAGTCAGCCCAACTTTGAACCTGCTCTTGAGAAATATTAATTCCGAATAATCTGCTCTTCTTGAGGTTTAGTTGCAGCTTGACATAACCTCAAACACTCTAAGCACCCTCTTCACATTCATAATCTGAGTCTGCGAAGCTCCACAAAAAATGATTAAGTCATCCGCAAATTGCAAGTGTGTAATATTAAAAGACCCTTCCTCCTTTCCAATAGTCATACCAGAAAATAATCCCTCAGAAATAGCCCTTAGGATTAATAAATTCAGCAATTCCCCTACTAGATTAAATAATAAGGGTGAGAGTGAACAACCCTGTCGAAGGCCCTTGGCCATTGGAAACTCCTCCGATGGAATCCCATTGACTAACACCGAAATCGAAGCTGTAGTAACGCATCTCTTGATCCAAGTAGAGTCGAAACCCATTTTTTCCATCACCTTGAACATAATAGGCCAGTCAACAGTATCATAAGCCTTCTTGAAATCAACCTTAAATACACAACCTTTTAATCCTTTCTTCCTCCAATAATCGATACCCTCGTTAGCAATCAGAGAACAATCCAAAATTTGTCGACTGGGTATAAAAGCAAACTGATTAGGGCTGATGATATCTCCTATACAACTTCTAAGCCTCCTTGAAAGACACTTGGATAAAATCTTGTAAACTCCTACTAGGATTATAGGTCTAAAATCATCAAGGCTCCCATTGTTAGGACCTTTAGGAATTAGGGTGATAAAAGTATAGTTAATAACATGTTCCCAATCTTTTCCTAAATAGAATTTGCAAAAAAAATTCCAGAATGTTACCCTTTAGAACATACCAGAACCTTTTGAAAAATCCCAAGTTTAATCCGTCAGGCCTCGGAGCTTTGTTGCTATCACAAGATTTTAAAGTCTCCCAAACTTCCTCCTCGGAAAATTCATTCTCTAAAAGAACACTTTGTTCCAAGGAAATTGTAGACCTCATTGAATATTTTAAAAAAGTGCTCTTTTACCGTGGTCTTGATAAGAGCTGGATCATGAGAAATATTCCCATCAACTTTTAAAACATTCAATGCATTTTGCTTTCTCCTAACTGAGGCACAAGTTTGAAAGTATCTTGTATTTCGATCCCCTTCATTAACCCACTTTTTTCTAGAATTTTGATGCCAAATCTGCTCCTCAATTCTATGAAGTCTCTATAATTCTGATCTACAAACACTTAACTCATCAACTATACCCTGAACCGAACTGCCATTAAAACGCTGGGCATCCTCTAGCTTTTGAATTTTCTTTTCTAAATTTGATATTGCAGCTCCCGAAAACTGGTTTTTCTTCTCTGCCCATTTCTTTATAGCTAATTTAGAGTTCTTCAAAATACTTAGAATTCCAGCTTTTCTACTAATCTTCTTACAATCTGTAATTGTTCGACTGACCATATCCTCGAAGCCTTCTTCCTCCATCAGATAATTGAAAAATCAAAGGCTTTTTCCCCAATTAGTACCTCCATTTTGTAAAGAAATACCATTATGGTATGAGATAGATTTAGGTATAAGTGACTGAATAATCTCCGGAAAAGTAGCAAAAAATTGACCATCCACCAAAAACCTGTCGAATCTAACAAAAGTGGGATCATCTTGGTTATTACACCAAGTGAATCTGCCCCCCTCTATAGGTAGATTAATTAAACCAGCAGACTGAATAAACTAAGAGAAGATCCTCATTGAGAATCTGTTCTGAGCTCTACCCACCTTCTCATCTTCACTCAAGTATACATTAAAATCCCCTCCAACACACACAGGGAGATTCTGTCCAGAAATGAACACACTAAGTTCAAAAAAAATTTCTTTTTCCTCCTCCACTGAAGGCCCATAAACAGTAATTAGCACACTTCTGAACTGATTAAAAATGAATTTACCCACAACAGCAATAAATCTTCTGTTAATGCAGTGATCTTCCATCTCAAATACATTATCATCCCAACAACATAAAACCCCCCTGAAGAACCAATAGCTGGAGACTCGATAACACCTCGAAAAGCATTTAACTCGTTCCTCCTTAGAAAAGACCTTTGTATCTTCTCAGCTTTAGTTTCTTGAAGCCAAAGAAATGAAGGATAAGAATTAGAGACTAATCTCTAAACCGCTCTCTGTTTTTCTTTTTTTCCCCAAACCCCTTACATTCCATGAAATAATGTCTAATTTTTCCTTTATGAATGATAATTGAAAAACCTCAATTACCCAATATGGCTCCTCAATTGGCCATATTAAAGCCCTTCTCTAGATTAATAATTTTTTCCAAAAAAGCTTCATTCCCCTGCTTGAAAGAAACCCCCAAAATCTGACTCACTTGCCATGTAGCTACTGCTTCGTCTAATAGGACCGAGAATACTGAAGAAGATGCTGTAGAAATATTAACTTGTTCTAAAGCTTCCCTTAGCAATAATCTCTTAACTCTTCTATTGGTTAAACCAGAATTAGAATAAGAATGTCTTTCCGAAACACACTCTTCATACTGTCCATCAAAACTTCTAACTCCAACTTCTTTGACTAAATTTGGATCCTCACTGACTTGTAAATTAGACTTTGCTATTGTAGGATTTTGTTGAACAGATAAGCAGAACTGATCTTTAACCTTCTGTGAATCTAGAACAACCT